AGGGGCGTCTGGCGGCGGCGGCGGCGGCGTCTGGGTCCCGAGGCCCGGGGTGGCTTCTTTAAAGACAAACAAAGGCGAAGATGCGGAGGCTCGGAAGCCGGAGATGGGGAAATCAGTTGTCATAAAAGGAGAGATTCAGAGAGAGACCGCGAGAGTGCGAGACAGAGAGAAACCGGGAGAGGAATTCAATGCCGTGTGCGCAGCAATAAAAGAATATGACCGCTATAAAAGTTTATAGCGTATAAATTTCTGAAGGTTAAGAAACTAAACAGCAGCAAAGCAAACAGTGAGAAGGGAAACTTTCCGGAGCTGAGAGCTGCAGCTGGGCCGGGGCTCCGGCCCCCGGGCCAGGCGGGGACTGGGTGGGCCCGGCAGCCCCCACCCTCACCCGCCCAGGATGCGGGGCTTGGGGCTTCCGGGAGCCCCAGGCGGCAAAGAGTGGCGAAGAAGGAAGGGGGGGAGGGAAGACACTTTGTTGTCGCAAATGCTTCAGAGACCGCAATTGGGACTCCTCTTTGTTCTTCACACTCCCTCCAGAATCAGGCGTCATAAACGAGAAGCCCCAACACCGCGCGCGCGCGCGCGCGCACACACACACACACACACACACACACACACACACACACACACACACACACAGGTCTGGCGGAGCCAGACGTCTGGGAGCGGGCAGCCTCTTGATCCTTTTACCGACCCATCCCACCCTCTCAGGCCTCCTCTCCCCCCCCCCCAGCAAAAAGCCCAATTGTTTCTCCTCGAAATTTGAAACAATCGTGTAGGGCTTGAAAAGTGCTCGCTTCCCCCTTTTACGGGCCATAAACGGCGCACTTCTTGGTGATCTCAGCCAGAAATTAGGGGATTAGGGGGAGGGGGCGTTAAGTACAAAAGAAAAAAGCTTATGGCTTCTTTTTCCGCCCCCTTCTCCCCTTTTTCTTATTTTAGCTTATCTGCAAAATTTCATGAACCGTTTCTTGATTTCGATGCCTTTTCTCTCGCCAGCTCTAGTTTCCCTCCCCCTTTTCTGCTAATAATAAATTTCTCTTGCTTGCGGCCTTGGACGCTCGGTCTTGGAGATCCTGGCCGAGCCTTTGGCGGTGGCGCCTTTTCGTAGAGCGGCCGCTAGATGGCACCCTTGCTCCACGTGAAAATTCCCTGTGCGGCGGCGGCGGCGGGTGCCCGCGGCTCTTTGCAGCACCTTGGTCGGCCAGGAATCTATGAACTGCGCACTACCAAAAGTGATGAATAACTTGTGCGTAATAAAAATGTAGGGTTCATTATGGCCGTTTCCCCCATTTTATAGATTTCAGATATAGTAGAGTTTCCCTCCTCTCCTCAAACTGTCAATTTTCTGCATTTCCCCATGAGGAAGGCTCAGTGCTTATCAAGTTGCTGTATTCCGTGGGGCAACGAATGCATGAAAACCGAGAATCATAATAATAATAGAAATAATGGGTCCAAATAAAAGAGAAGAACTGAGTCATAAAGAATAAGATTTTCCTGGGAAGGGGCGAGAGGAATGCCCGCGGCCGCGGGTAAGCGGGTCAGGTGAGCCGGGAGAGCAGGCAGAAGCTCCGACGTAGAGGAAGATGCCCGACCCGGCTGCCAGGACCTGCCGGAGAAGGCAACCGGGAGAGCCAGCCTACCCCCTCTCACCCCCACTCCTCCCTCCCCCCAGTTTTAGGGCTTTTTTTGCAGATTCGGAGTCGCCCAAAGCTGGCGGGATGCTCCGTACGGGAGGAGGGTGCAGAGCCTTTGTACGGGTCCGGGAGCTCGGCTGGGCGCGCGCCGGGCAAACCATGTGCGGGACAGGGGGTCCCCAGAGCGGCGAGGTGCGGAAAGGCTCGGATATTGCCTCGGGATGCTCTGGGCGCCCTAAGCTGGGCCGCCAAAAAAAAAAAAAAAAAGTGCGTTTTCCGGATGGGTGCGGGAGAAGGCACCGCAGCAGGAAGCAGGAACTCGGTCCCTCCCCTCGTCCGCGACTTCCAGGTGAGAGTTCCAGTTCCGCGTGCCCCAGGGGCCCGACCCTGGGCCCCAGGCAAACCTGGGGGGCGCGGGTCCTTTGGTAATTTGGCAGTGAAGGCCTGGACTCGGGGGGCACGTTTCGCTCTGAGACTCGCGCGCTGTCTGCCCATCGTCTTTGCGATTCTGAATCCCTCATTTCTTCCCGGTTCCTCCCGATTCGTGCCACCCATCTGGACAAACCTGTGTGAAAAATAGATATCCCCCCCACACACACACACACACACTCAAAACCACCCCAGCCACAGCCTCTCTCTTCCCCCAGGACTGAATGCGAAGAGGCAAGCGGAGTTTCTCCTCAACTTGAGTTTCTCTAATAAATCTACACTCCATTGGGTGTTTATAAATTATCTCCTCGCTCTTTCTTCTTTTTTTCTGATAATAGAAACATTTTCCTTCCGTCAGGAATTTCTGGCACAGTGTAGGGATGATTTAGAACAAGCCATTAAATTTCTCCTTCGCCAGTGAGTCCTCAAATCATGACCATAAAATCCCCACACTTTATAAAAACGTTCGCTTCGCCAACAACTTAACTCTGCCTCCTGACGCCTCACCGCCCCATCAGCCACGCGCTGAAAATTCAAGATCCTGGCTTCTCTCCTCTCCTTTTTGCCTTTCTCTTGCTCTCTTTCAGACCCTCTCCCATTCTCCAGATTCACTTTTGAAGGACGAGGTGGCCCCACTGGTGTGGGTGAGGGCTTCCTTTTGGAGAAGGTGAATAGTTTTATTTTTACAAAGGTTGGGGTGTGTGGAGTCACCAAGAGGCACCCCTCCAAAAGCAAATCACCCTCCCTTGGATCAACAATGGATTGAATGTATTTGTAAAGCCTCCACATTTGTTACTAGAAATTTTTTCTTTCTTCCTTCCTTCCTTCCTTCCCTTGGTTGACCAGTCACTGTAGGAGGCCTTTGCTTCTGACCTTCAGACAGGGCCTTATACAGCCTGGCCACCACTGCGTCTAGGCCGGGTAGATAGGTAAGGCAGCAGGCCTGAGAGTGTGGCACCTAGCCAGCTTGCTGCTGCCTTCAGTCCTTCAGGTCCCAGGTCCCCAGGCCTGGAGGGAGAGCCAGGTTTAACTAGCTGCTCCCCAAGGGAAGAGGAGAGAAAATGGGCCCTCAGCGGCTTACTCCATCTGAATCCCCTTCACCCCAAGGTCAGCTTAGGCAGTGCCAGTGGCTCAAAAGGGTCTTGAGGACATTGAGGACTAAATGGCACCCCCCCATACACACACCTTGCAGGCACACAAGGGAGGGCACACATCAGTGGGCACCAAGGCCAGGTGCCTAGGCTGAGGTGCCCAGCTGGGCCTGGACTGCCCTTCCCTTGCTTTGATATGCTGATTGAGTTGGCTGTGTCCTCTCGCCCCAGGGCAGTGCAGAGGACTGGCCCGGGATGGTTGGGAGCCAATTGGACTTGGTTTCTGGGTCCCAAGGCCTGGGCTCCAGAGTGGGGCAGCCCGACTTGACGTCATCCCGCTGGTGGCATCAGCCCCCTCTTCCCTCACACAAAGTCGGTTCCTCAAAGCACTGACTGGGTCCCAGCACCTTCCGGAGACCCCCTCCCCCATTCCTGCCCTCCCCCGCCAGCCAACAGAGATTGTGCAAAACTGCAAAATTGGGCAGGCAGTTTGGAGGCAAACTTCGAGCTGAGCTTCACCACTACCCATTAACAAAAAAGTTTCTTCTCCCCCACCCGGCCCCCTCCTCACGCCCTTCCAACCCCTTTTCCACGGAAAATCCTTGCTTATTTGTTTAATGAGGCAAAGTTGAGTGAGTAGCTTGGGCGGGGCAGAGAGGGCTGGCTTGGGGGCTCCAGAGAGGGAGGTGGGGGCAGGTGCTTGCCACAGCTGAAGGAGGCGAAAATCTCGGAAAAGTCACCGTTTGTGCCGAAAAAACCCACGATCATTCTCATTTGGGCTTCGTCACCCCCACCGTGCTGCAGTCGGGCGGCGGGGGCGATCGAAGCTGCAGTTTTATAACTGTAGAGGAAAGAACTCGTAAAATGCTAACAGCTTTTATGCGCTGCGGCATAAACAACAACAGACTCCGGCTTTATTGCGTTTTATAGTTTGTTAAAGAGTTTACAGCCGTTTTTGGGGGCCGGTTACCCAGTCAATTCCCTCTGCACGATCGTTAAACCTTTATCAATAATAAGGAAATTGATCATTAAAGCTTTAAATATGACTACCTCGTTTGTTTGAAAATATGTTTAGGAGAGGAAGCTGTATGATTTGATAACTTGTATTAAAATACCAATTACATTTATAGGACCTTTTAAAACTCGGTGCAATTAAACCGTGTTCTTTTACATTTTTCCGAAGCGACCCTGACATTTAGAAAGACTCCAACTGCCTCGTTAAAATCGCGAAATTAACAGCGTGCCTGCGCCTGGCGCGTTGTGTATGTGTGTGTGCGTGGTTTTTTCCATGACTCCCCCGCATCAGTCTTTGGGGGTGGTCTGCGAAGGTATTTGATTTGTTGTGAGGCGAGAGATATCTCATTAATGTAGGTAGTTAAACAGATTTAATCCGTATTCATTCTCTCTCACCCCCTTTTCCTCTCTCCCCCCTCCCCTTCTCCCCCTCTCTCTCTCCCTGGGTGTTTTTTTTTTTTTTTCCCCCCCCCCCCTTTTTTTTTTTTTTTTTTCCGCTCTCTCCTCAGTCCCTGGCGCTCTCTCGCTCTAGCTCTCTCTCGCTCTCACCCGCTCTGCGTTCTGTCCGGGAGGAGTACGGAGAAGCCAATAGGATGCGGGGTCTCTAATGGATGCAAATGATCATGAAAAGACAGTGCAAAATATGAAACAACTCATTTGCAGGGAAGTAAATCACCGAAAACTGTTTATGAACTGGCATCCCTTCTTCGAAATGTAAAGCGAGGACCTCTTTAAGTGGCGGTATATTTTTGTTTGGGGGGTGGGGGTGGGGGGACGGCCAGCGAGCCTCGGCTGCCATGCAAGCTTAGTCTTTTGGAGGCTTCTCTGTCCTTTTCTATTCCTGGAAATCACAAAAAGTGTGGTGGCTTCAAGATCTTCTTCGCCTTTTCTTTCTTTCTTTCTTTTTTTTTTTTCCTCCTCCCTTTCCCTCTCCTTTCCTGGCGAGGGTGACTAGGAGCCGGCGAATCCGCGTTTTTTTCTCTCTCTCCCTCCCTTTCCCCCTCCCCACCCCCTCCCCAACAGCCCCCTACTACAGCCGCCGCCGCCGCCGCCGCCGCCTCAAAATTCAATAAAATGAGCTCTTATTTCGTCAATTCACTGTTCTCCAAATACAAAACCGGGGAGTCCCTGCGCCCCAATTATTATGACTGCGGCTTCGCCCAGGACCTGGGCGGCCGACCCACCGTGGTGTACGGTCCCAGCAGCGGCGGCAGCTTCCAGCACCCATCGCAAATCCAGGAGTTCTACCACGGGCCGTCGTCGCTGTCCACGGCTCCCTACCAGCAGAACCCGTGCGCCGTGGCGTGTCACGGGGACCCGGGCAACTTCTACGGCTACGACCCGCTGCAGCGCCAGAGCCTGTTCGGTGCGCAGGACCCAGACCTGGTGCAGTACGCCGACTGCAAGCTCGCCGCCGCCAGCGGCCTGGGCGAGGAGGCCGAGGGCTCTGAGCAGAGCCCGTCGCCCACACAGCTCTTCCCCTGGATGCGCCCGCAAGGTGAGCTCGCGGCGGGTCTGGCTGGGGCGAGAGGGCCGGAGGCCGGGCAGGGGGCCGGTCAGGCCAGGGCGCATTTCCTCCAGCTACCCGGAGACCGACCCGCTCGGTACTGATCGCCTCCTGCTTCTTCCTTTTCTTTCTTTCTTTCTTTTTTTGTTTCACTTGAAGGGGGGTCGCTAAGCGACATTTCCTGAGTCCATAAACCCCTCAGCCTGCCTTACTTTTCTTCTTCTTCCCCTCCTTTTTTTCCCTTTTACTGTTTTATGGGGGGTTGTGGAGAGAGGGTGGTGAGAGTGGGGGCCCTCAACTTTTGCACTTCTCAATTGCTTTATAGTTTAATTACCCTGAAGAAACTTTTCTTCCGGGGCAGAGGCTCTGGGGGCTTTTCAAGGTGGGTCCATTGGTCCCCACCTGGCTTTTTTATTCCCCACCACCACCTCCTTCACATCCTTCCTTCTAAAGTTTGTGGCACTTTTAATAGATTTGAACCACCACCCCTAACTCTCTGGTGTTGGTTAGCAGGGGAGGGGGCTCCCCTTTTCTGCCTCCCTTAGATTCGATGGTGTATGATCCCCCTCACACACACACCCCCCCCGCTGACCGCGGCCTCCCCGCGCCCCCCCCCCCCCCCCGCGCGGGGTAGAAGGTCCCCTGCCCTTATCATACTGGTCTCCCAGACTGGTTCACGAATCTTCCAACCTTTTCCGTTTCTGCCCCCTCCCCCACCCTCCCCTCCCCTCTGTCTCGCCCTTTCCCCCATTCCCAGCAGCCGCCGGACGCAGGCGAGGCCGACAGACCTACAGCCGCTACCAGACCCTGGAGCTGGAGAAGGAGTTTCTATTTAATCCCTATCTGACTCGCAAGCGGCGGATCGAGGTATCGCATGCGCTGGGACTGACAGAGAGACAGGTCAAAATCTGGTTCCAGAACCGGAGGATGAAGTGGAAAAAAGAGAACAACAAAGACAAGTTCCCCAGCAGCAAATGCGAGCAGGAGGAGCTGGAGAAACAGAAGCTGGAGCGGGCCCCGGAGGCAGCGGACGAGGGCGACGCGCAGAAGGGCGACAACAAGTAGGCTCCAGTCTGGGACTGCCAGGGCCGCGGCCGCCCGCCGGTCCGCAGGTCCCCACACCGCGCCACCGCCGCCCGCCCCCGCCCGAGAGCGCTCTGGTCCTGCCAGCGGGGCCGGGAGCCGGGCCTCCCACCGCAGCGTCCCCCGCCGCGCCAGTCCCCGCTAGTGGTAGTATCTCGTAATAGCTTCTGTGTGTGAGCTACCGTGGATCTCCTTCCCTTCTCTTGGGGGCCGGGGGAGAAGAAAAGGATTTGAAGCAAGGACTCCCTCGCCCAGCGAGGATGAGCGGCCGCGGCCCGGCTGAGCACCCCCTCCGCCCCCGCCCGTGTAAAAAGCCTCCTTGTGCAATGGTCTTTTTTTTTTTTCCTTTGAACGTGCTTCTTTGTAATGACCGAGGTACTGATTTCTGCCAAGTTCTCCCAACAACATGAAACTGCCTATTCACGCCACGATTCTTTCTGTCTCCCTTTCTCTGTCTTTCTCTTTCTCGCTGCATCCTCATTTCCCCTCCCAACCCCTCTCTCCCGGCTGCACTGCCCAGCTCGCTGGCTTTCTCTCTCGCTTCCTCCCACTCCCTCCCCCTTTGGTTTGACAATTTCGTCTTAAGTGTTTCTCAAAAGAGGTTACTTTAGGTAGCATGCGCGCTGTGGGCAATTGTTAAAAGTGTTCTTAGGTTTACTGTGAAGAGAATGTATCCTGTATCCGTGAATTGCTTTATGGGGGGGGGCTAATTATATATTTTGTTGTTCTTCTATAGTTTGTTCTGTTGTCTGCGCCTGAAAAGGGCGAAAGAATTACAATAAAGTTTACAAGCAAGAACCCTAGACTGGCCCGGCCTGCGCTGCCTCATTTGCTCCCAGGCGCCTTGCAGAGCTGGGGGGAACCGGTCCCCGGACTCCCTGCGCCCGCCGAGGCCAGGCAGCACAGAGGAGGGGGCGGGGGCTGGAGGCAGGTGGTGAGAGTCCCTCGGCCCAGGGGCTCAGAGGGTGAGGGAGGCGGCTGCACGTGATTGGAGGAGAGAGGATCGAGGGAGGGGAGCCAAGAGAAACCCCCTCCCCTCGCGTTCCAAGCCCTCCAAGCCGGGTAGACCCCAGCGCTCAGGCCACGCTGGAGAGAGGAGCCCGGGTTAGCGGCTATCTCCGCGCCACCTCCCCCCCTTTGTTTCTGTGTGTGTCCTCTCATGTGGGTACGTGTGTAGGGGGATAAAGGTGGAGTGCAGGGCTGCTGAACACACTTATATTTTTATTTTTCTCTGACTCTGGTGGAGGGAGCAGGAGGAGGAGGAGATGCTGTTCGCCTCTCCTTCTCTGGGACTTGGCCTCCTTCGCCCAGCTCCGAAGCCGGCCAGGACTCGCCGCCTTCCTTCCTTTGCTGCCTCTGCTTCTTGGGCAGCCCCGCTTAGCAGAGGCATCCGCCTCCCGGAACCAGGAGAGCGGCGTGCCCTAGGCCGCCCTCCTCCCTTCCTTTCTCTCCCCACCCACTCCACCCCCTTCCTTTTTTATTTTCTAACCTTTGTTTTTTTTTAGCCACCAGAAACTGCAGCTTTCCACGCCCGTGGGCTGGATCCCATGCCTCTAGGAGTACCGAAGTCAGCGTGGACAACGAAGCCTCGGTCCATCCCCGCCCGTGTATCTGGGGCACCGAGAGAGAGCTGAGAGGCCAGGCTCACTCATCTCTCACCTTGGGGGAACCGGACCCAGTTTCCCCAAAGGCCCAGCCGGGATGAATTGGCCCAAACTAATAAAGACCCGCCTTGCCCTTGCCCCAGTTGCGTGCATTCAATTTCTGCGTTTGTCTCTCGCTCGGTAACCGGCTGGGGAGGATGGGGGTGGGGGTAACATCACGGATCGCTCCGAGGTTATTTATTTTCCCTTCCACTCAATTCTTTCCTCCCCAAATCTCGCCTGCAAGCTGCCTCCAGCCCGCGGGGATAGACCGCGACCCTTGAGCCCCCAGCCCCAATCCACAGGGCTCGGCTTCCCCATTCATTATTGATCGTATTTGATAAATCCAACGCCACACAATTTTTTCCACATTACCGGGAGCCGTGGGGAGGCTGCCTGGTCATTGGCGGAGGGGACGTCACGTGGGCGGAGGTCACGTGGTCCGGAGAGGAAAAAGGGGGTCCTTTTTGGTGTAAATCTGGACTCTAATTCTGTAATATATCAAGGAATCTCGTAAAACCGACACTAAAACGTCCCTGCCTACAAATCATCCGGCCAAATTATGAGTTCATTGTATTATGCGAATGCTTTATTTTCTAAATATCCAGCCGCAAGTTCGGTTTTCGCTACCGGAGCCTTCCCCGAACAAACTTCTTGTGCGTTTGCTTCCAGCCCCCAGCGCCCGGGCTATGGAGCGGCTTCGGGCGCTTCGTTCGCCGCCTCGATGCAGGGCTTGTACCCCGGCGGGGGGGGCATGGCTGGCCAGAGCGCGGCCGGCGTCTACGCGGCCGGCTACGGGCTCGAGCCGAGTTCCTTCAACATGCACTGCGCGCCCTTTGAGCAGAACCTCTCCGGGCTGTGTCCCGGAGATTCCGCCAAGGCGGCGGGCACCAAGGAGCAGAGGGACTCGGACTTGGCGGCCGAGAGTAACTTCCGGATCTACCCCTGGATGCGAAGCTCAGGTAACGCCGCGCACCGAGCCGTCCCGAGCCGAGCCGCAGCGGCCGGGAACATTTCCCGGAAGGCTCCCCTTGGCCCGCCGGAGGCCCCTTTCCGCGTCCAGAGTGCTCCGGGCCGGAGATGGACTCTGGGGACGCGGCACCCCTCAGCTGCGGCCCGGCGCGCCAACCCCCACCCCGCTTTTGCTCGGCGCTCTCAGGCTCGCTCTGCTCCCCGGCGGTTCTCTCTCCACCGACGCCGCGGCGCTCCGCGCCCCCGGCCCGCCCCCTCCCTTCCTCCCGGCCTTTTAGCTTTAAATATTTATCAGCCGCGCCGGCACGGGCTGGAGACGAGGCCGTTTGTCTTTCGGAGGAAGGCTGGGGTTTGCGGAGAATAGCCATTAGGGTCTCCCCCTCCCTCCCCTCACCCCGTCCCCGCAGGGGATCTCAGCTCTGGGTGAGTCCCCCAGCCCCAGCTTGGAGAAGGTCTGGGGGAGGGGGCCGCAGCGCTGAGCAACACTCCCCTCCCCCTTCCTTCCCAGCCAACCCCGCTCCCCCATTATTCCCATCAGGACAATTAGAGGTGGGCCCTAGAGTCCCGGCGGGAGGGGGTGTGAGAGATGAGGACCCAGGCAGGGACACTGAGCACAGACAGGCAGGTGGAGGGAGGGGGGCTGAGGTCAAAATAGACTAGGCCCCTGACCCCCCAGTGAACTTGGGGTGCAGGCAGGAGAACTAGAGAAAGGGTCAGAGGCTTGTGGGAGTACAGCTGGCTTCCTCAGGTGCTGGTCCTGCCAGGACTCCTAGGCATACCCCTGGAGTACTGGCCAACAAGTTTGGAGGTGCCATTCCAGAAGTGTGAAGCTCCTGCTTGAGGGGATGGGCTAGGACTTCATGGAGCCAAATCAGGAGTTAGAGGGTCCAGCTGCTGCACAAACCCTAAGAGTCCAGGCACTCCATGGGGGGTTTCCTGCCAACCCTGGCCCAGACATCCTTCTCAGCACTGCCTTAGCTGAACTCAGGGGCCAGCCCCAGGGTCCAGAAGGCCCAAGACGGGTGGCCAGAGGTTCCTACCTAGCCAGCCAAAGTTGGGGGTCTGGAGGAGCCAGCTCTTGCACCATCAGTGTTGGTGGTCACAGTCCCCGTTACCTACTCCATGATTCAACTGCCTTTCCAGTTGATTTATCAAAGCCTAAATTCTTCTGCTCGTAAACATTGTAAACATTTCAGCTTGGCTTTTATCTGACTTGAAATTAGGGCTCCTAGTCCATCCTCTCCCCTATCTCCTTCCTAGGACGGCTGGCACCAGCACCTCCCCCAGCACAAGACTCCCCCCAGCCTCCTCAGGGTTCTGGTCCTAGCCTGGGTAGCCCCCCTCTGCCCTTCAGCCCCTACCACCCAGATACTTCAAGTTCCACCCAACCCAGGCTGCTGTTTCTCCTCTTTCCCTGTGCTTCCTGGAGGCCCAAAGATTGCTTTGGAGAGCTGGGCTGTCTGGTAGGTGGGCTGGCAGGGCAGCCTGGCTCTGTCTGAGCCTCAACCACTTACTGGAAAAGAATCATCAGAGGGCAGCTGCTCCCAGATCAACTCCAAGCTTCAAGGAAATCTGCAAACTCTGACCTCCTCCTCTTTCCACAACAGGCTGAGGTGGGGAGTGTGTGAGACTGGGCCTGTGATGCTCCTTTGTCTCCTTTTCTTCTTGGGAAATGTACCCAGGCCAAGCCTGGAGTCCCACTTCAGGGTCACTTGCATGGTGCTCATTGCTCCCTACCCCAAGGACCACGAGAGCCAGCATCCAGAGGGAGAGGCCTGGGATCCCTGGTTCCAGAGAGTGACAAAAGAATTATCCTCCCCTCATCCCACAAACATCCTTCAGATCAGAATCTTGAAGAACCAGCAGGTTAGATCTTCCTGGGTTCAGAAGCCCAGGCTGGAAGAGACTTCTGGATTGAAAATGGGAATGTTTGTCTTGGGAGGCCTGTAGAAAGGTCTGCAGCATTAAGGGAAAAGGTTCCATATAGGCTGGAGTATGGAAAGCAAGGATTTTGTTTCAGTGGGAAATGGACTTCTTCCACCCCCAAAAAATCACACACAAAGTTTAAGATGGAGATGGGCACTCTCCTGGCATTTTCCATACTCATTTATTTTTCTCCTCTAAATACTGTGCGCAGGGACCGACCGCAAGCGAGGCCGCCAGACCTACACCCGCTATCAGACCCTGGAGCTGGAGAAGGAGTTCCACTACAACCGCTACCTGACCCGGCGGCGGCGCATCGAAATTGCGCACGCGCTCTGCCTCACCGAAAGACAGATCAAGATTTGGTTCCAGAACCGGCGAATGAAGTGGAAAAAGGAGAACAAGACCGCCAGTCCCGGCGCCACCGGCCAAGACAAGGCCGAGGCGGAGGAGGAAGAGGAAGAGTGAGGGACAGAGGAAGGGAGAAAGATGAGAAGGAGAAACCCAGCTTTGGGAACTGAACCAGGAAACTCAAATTAATGAGAGGGGAAAACCCTATTTAAGTGGAAAGCAGTTTAAAAAAAAAAAATTAGAGGAGAGGGAAAGAGGAAATTTTGGTTTCTTAACACTGAAAAAAAAAAATACTACCTATAGGAAAGTCCGTTTGGTTTGTTTTTGTACAACATGCAAAGGACATTATCTACCTGTTCTGTAGCTTTCTGGAATTTGCCTCCCCTTTTCTATGTGTCTATTGTAAGGTCTTTGTAAAATCTTACGGTTTTTGTAAGCCCCCTTTGACACTGTCTTTGTGGACTGTGGGTCTGGACTAACGTGTGTGGTTCTTCGCCCTCCTGAGCCTTCGCCTTCCCGGTAGCGGCCGCCAAAGGGCCTTAGCGAGCCCCAAGGACCAACCGAGCAGCTCCCGTGTCCCCACTGTGTGCCTGCCTGATGCTCCCTGCTCTTGCCAGCCCCTGTGGTCCTCTTTACGTTCTCTGTGTATCTGAAGGATGGAAAAATAAAACATAATTAAAAATAAACAGGTGCCCTATTTTCTGTATCTCTCTAAGCCTGGGGAGGGTCATCAGGGTTAGCAATGGGTGGCGCAGTTCCAGTACCCCTCTGTTCAGACTTCAGGCGCAACTCATTTCTTTTTGTGCTGGAGTCTGTTCTCTTTCCTGATGCTCCTTGCTTGGGAGCTGCTAATTAGTGAACTTGGATATCACATGCATTCCATTTACACCTTTTTACACACCTTGACACATACAAACGCACCACAATCATACATATTTATTTAGAGGCTGACATCACATACAAATAAATACGTACACCGTCACATAAGATCCCAAATAAATACCAATATTCATATGTTCATAATGAACATACAGGCATTCACACAATTCCAGTTCCACTCCCAGGAACACATACATTCACATTCACACACACTCACAAGTAAACACACATTCACACTCACTCACAAACAGGCACATTTATACATATTCACAAACGTACATTCACACATTGGCTTATAAACACAGATTCACATTTGCCCCCAAGTAAACACATCCATGAGCCCAGATGCTCAGTCACACACACTCGGAAAAACAAAACAAAACCCACACAGTTCCACAAATCATCTTCCGCATCCAGGCCTTCAAACCGGGCTGCCGGCTCTGAGAGGTTTGGGCCCCCGCCACCGCTACCGGGGCACAAATGAGAGCTGAAATTCGAAATGCTAGGCCCCATACGAAGAAAGGGCGAAAGAAAGAAAAGGTGCAGATCCAAATCCATTCCCGCCTCCCTGGTGGCGTTGGGCTGAGAGAGGCCCATGAGCAGAGACCAAGCGGCCTCCAAAACCAGCAGCTCGCGGCTTTCCGCTTGCTTGGCAAATATTTTCAGCAAGCGCTATGTTCGGTTATTTTATTTCAATTTATTTTAATTTCTCTCATTCTAAATTGACACTGGTGACTCAGATAAAATTTTAAAATGAAAAATAAACAAACAAACAAAAAAAAACCCCAAAAACCTAGTCCCAGGAGGGAGAGGCTGAGCAGTGCGAGTTTACCGGGCTAGTGTGGCCCGCTCCCGCCGCTCTGAGGGCTACGCCGGCTTCCTCTGCGTCTTTCTGCCCTCTCTCTGTGCCGCCAGCAACCTGGAGCCTTCTCTGGAGCACAGGGAGAAAGAAAAAAAAAGAAAAACGTTTTGGTGGGAGGGTATTTCGTTTCCCGGATTCGTGCTCCTCAACTCAAAATACGGGGGTATTTCAGGGAACCTGGGAAACAAGGAGTGAATTTTTTTTTTTTTTACTCCAAAACACCCCCTAACTGAAGGACAAAAAAACCTGGAAAACAGTGTTAACGCAGTTAAACCTGCAGAGCTGATTTTTAGTATTTATTCGATTATAAGCCCTGGATTATTTAGACTTGAAGAACAGGCACCGAAACAGAAAAGGGGAGGAGAGTTGGAAGGGAAGCTCGTTTTATGAGAATCTGTTTAATTGGAATTTGCAAGTGAAAGGCCCCTAAACCTGCAGTTTCCCCTATTCACCACCGCAGAACCTCCTGGAGAGCGGTGCCAAGTGATCTTGGGGAACCTGGACAGGTTTGGGCCGAAGAAGCCGGGATCTGGCTTTACCCTGCTCCAGTCTGGGGTGCGGAGGTGAGGATACGGTTGCTGTACTGTCGGCTTTGGCCCCGGCCCAGGCAACCTTCCCTCCTGGGCCAATAGCTAGGCCTGAGGGGACGTAGGGTGCTCACACCCGCAATGCTGCAAGCCTCACAGGTGGGGGTCCTGCCAGCTTTAGGTCTGAGAAGGAGAGGGTCGTTCAGAGGGGGAGGGGGAACACCGAAGCTTTCATTTTGCCCTGGTGCAAATGGCGACTCTGGATCTCCACTGCTGCTTCCACCTCACCCCAAAATTGTCTGAAAACAGTCCCTATGCGGAGGAATTGGGGGTGAAATTTTACTAGCAGAGGTAGACAGAGCTTCTGCGGGGAAATAGGAGGCTCCAAAAAGAACCCCCTTCCCAGCTGGCCTCTTGCAGCTCCTCCGCCCAGGTTCCCAGCGCCCCAAATCTCATCCCTTCTTAGATTGGGGTTTCCCCAAAAAGCCAGCAGGAGAAGAAAAGAAGATGGCGACCGAGAAAAGGGCTGCTGGTGGAGCGGCCATGAAGAAATGCAATAAATTCCTTGTTGTTTTATGAAAATTTACAACTTTGTGATAGAAGTTTATGAGTGGTTGAATCCAGCGATTGGCCGGCGCCGGTCATGTGGCCGGGCGATCGTGAACATGAACTTTTTATCATTTCCCTGGTGGTTATAATGCAGCATTCTTTTGGACACCACACCTAGGTCGGAGCACTGTCGTCCTTCAGGGCTGCAGCCTCTTGATATTTTTATACTTCACTATCAGCTCGATAGAGTGAAAGAGAGAGAGAAGAGAGAGGGGGGAGAGGAGAGAAGAGAGAAAGAGAGAGGGAAGGAAGGGTGGGGAATTACACAAAAGGGAGAACAAAACATAATTTTAATTCCTAAATTAATTTACTTGCTGATTCGGAGATTTTAGTCATCATGGAAGGTAGATGGAAAATCTGCCCAGGACCGCAGACTGATACCATTTTTCTAAGCCAGAACTTACTCCATTTTCTGTGCAAATGTCAGAAAAGCGAAACACCCTCTCTCCCAAGTCAGAGAAGGGGAAGCAACGGCTCTCAGTTTGGGACAATATTATCTGGAAGCTGAAGCAGAAACCGAGCGCTCTTTTTTCTCCCTTCCCATCCCTTTCAATCCGGAGGAAAAAAAAAAAAACCCAAGGTCTGCAAAGGTAAGGGAGCTTCTACAATTCTCCTCTTGTTCTTTTACATCGATTTTTTGTAGGGGGGTGGGGCTTGGGCTTGACTCCCCCCCCCCCCACCAGACAGCGCTGAACCCCACCTCTGGGCGCTGCAGGGAGAGGCTTCCCAGGAAATTCGGTGGCAGAGAGAGGGGTGGCTGCTTCCTGGAGGGGGAGCCAAGGCAGGGAAGACGGGAGGAGGAACCGAAAGGGGCCACGGAGACAAGTTCTAAGTCGCCTTTTTAAGCTGGGAGAAGAGGTTCAGGCGAGGGGGCTACGATGGGGGTGTCTGGGCTTCAGCGGCGCCCGCAGAAGCCACTGGCAATGGCCTCCATGGGTTTGCGGCGGCCTCCCCCTCCCACCATCCCTTCCTTGTCCTGGCCTCTCCCCATTACCCCCGCGCAGTTCTCTTGCCCAGTGCGGGTCCCGGAGGTTTCCCCGGCATCGTTGGCACGAGGGGCGGTGGCGCTCAGGGACGTCTTGGCCTCTGGAGGGCCCGGCATCTCCGCAGAGGCTGACGAGAGGAGGCGGCGGCTAGAGAAACAGAGAAAGGACAATTCACAGAGAAATGTTCACCATCTCCCTTACGAGACATTTCTGAAATTGAAGGGCTGTGGGTGGAGGCACCCAGAGCTAGGGCGACCCTCCAGGAAGGCTGCCAGAGAATGCCCATGTCCCTCGCCACTCCCGGAGGAGGGAGCCTCGCTCTGCAGGGAGACAATTTTGTGGTTTTAACGCGGTAGGTTACAGCGTGTAATGGTTTCTGTGCGATATTGATTCCGTGACTTGTGTTCTACTGGTACGGAGGTGTGTTGATTTCGGTGGAGAAGAAAAATGCCGTGTGGGTGTCTGATGTGGAAACATTGTTCTTGTGCAAACTTTCCTGGCTCTCCACGTGGTCATTGTGGATAAGCTGTTTAGCATGTTGTTGTTTTGGGCTTGTAAACAAACGAACGAAAGAACAGTAAGAGAAAACCCGATTCAGGGACCTGAGGGTGTCCGGGCTGGAAAGCTCAGACAGCTAGTCCTTGTCCCTCAGGCGCCTGATTTCATCCCCCAGCTAGGCCTCCTGGGAGGCGAGGAGGAGAAGAACCGTTGGGCGGGGGACAGACATTCCTAAAGTAGCTGGTGGGGTGGTGGGATGGAAGGAGGCGTAAGCCTGAGCTGTGGACTAAAAAATGGGGTGAGAGGGCTTCTGCGGAAGCTGCTAGCCGAGAGATAAGCGAGGTTGGGCGCCGAGAGCAGGAGAGACTGCGATTTAGCTTGGTTTGCACAAATAGGTGACTGCTTTTTTCTTTCTTAAAACCAGATACGGGGCATTCAGTCTCGGGATTCTGGTTCCCCCGGGATTGCGAGGTGTCGGGTGTGTGTGTGCGGGGGTAGGGGTATTGGCCTTTTCATTGCAGAGATGGGCGGAGAGGGACGCAGCCACTTGTGGCGCGGGAGGGTGACCCTGGGGGCCCAGGTAGATGCCCTCGTCGCAGGCCTGGACTGGGCGCCCCGAGGCATGTCTTGGCTGCATAGCGAGAGAAGTTCTCGGCTAGCACCCACTGCTCTCGGGCCTATTCTCAAAGGAAAAATTCCCCAAACCCACCCGGACTAAAGGTCTTTTTCTCTTGTAGTCTTGGCGGGTTATAAATCGTCTCTCAGACAGTTTGCTCTCTGACCCAAATTATGCGGTTTGCTGCCATCTACTGTCCGTGCGGAGACACGCGGCTTCGGCGCCGCAAACCCGCTACGCTGCACGAGTCGTGCCCAACGCCTGGAGCCAGTGCTGGGCAGGTTCGGCTGGATTAGAGGGATTTCGGACCCAGAGCTACGCTTTCCGCTGCATCTTGCTTCCTGGCCGACCGGGTGTGGATCGGAGTACGAGCACCTCCCCCACCCCATCCCAGCTCCAAACCTGGCAGGGGAAGCGGCTTTTTCTGGGACACATTTAAAAAAAGGACGAATACAGCATTCCGCGGGCAGGGGTCCCTGAACCAAAGAGTTGGGGATAAGGGTCGCGAGCCCACCCCCACCCCGCCATGGGCGCGAGAGGGGGTCAGGCCGCTGGAGAGATCCGAGGCCAAGGCTGTTCAAGGTTTATTTGGTTTTCTTCTCGGCCAAGGGAAGGGGCCGGCAGGGGAGGCGCCGGCCCGGCAGTTCCACTTGGTTGTCAAAAGACAAACCGGGTCTGTATTCTCCCAGTTGGCTGGTGGGTCTTGCCAGTTCCTTGGCTGGTGGGTGCGTGGTGAAGGAACTGAACCGAGTTTTCTGGAAACTGTTGGTGTCTGCGAGTGTCCGACCCCTCCCCCACTCTGGATCGTTTCCAGCGAAATCGACACAAATACACTTAAGGGGAAAAAATTGGGAGTGAGAGTGAGGAGAAATCATTCAGGAACCAAACCATTGTGATTTCCGTTCCTGCTGGACCTCTCACACTTGCTTAACCTGACCGCTTTCTCAGAAGGGGGTGGTGAGGGCCGGGTACCCGCCTGTGCTGCTGCGTTTGAATATTGGCCCCTGTCTCACGGGTTACTGATTAGCTCGGGCTTTCAAGTCTCAGGAGGAAGCTCTGGAAGCTCTGGCTGCTCCTTTCAAGGTGCAGTGGCCCGGGTCCTGGGCGGGGGCTTCAGGAAATTGCCTGCGGTGCCAGGCAGGCCGAGGTGTTACAAGGGTCTGGCCGGAGCTGGAGGCGCTGCCTTGGTCGAGGAGCCGATAGCACTGGGGCAAGAACAGCGGCTTCGGCCCCCCCGCCCGCGGCCACCCCTTGAGTCTGGCCCGCAGGAGCAGCCCTTTCAGCTTTTCCGCGGCGAGAATGACTTTATGGCAGTTAGAAGGCCGGCCCAGTGAGGCGCCCTGCGGGTGGCCCCGAGGGAGCCTGCCAGAAAGGACTTGGGCCCCTCTGAGATGATTCCTTGTGGACCATCAGCAGGACGGTGGGAGGGGGAATCCAGCTGGTACAGAGGGTTGAAACTCTTCAGGGCTCTTACGGTGCCCATGGACCTAGGGGGAGGGGACAGGGAGAGCAGGCCTATTGCCACCGCCTACTTCTCCCAGAAGATCTGAGATGCTGCTGCTATTTGCATAGTGGAAATAAGATCTTTGTACAGCTCTTTCGATGGGCCCATTTTAAGGCCAAGTGTCCCATCCAAAGGGCCCCCTAACGCTTAGGAGCGGCACACTGTTCCCCCGGGAACATTTATGTTCCCCAAACTCAGAGCATCAGAGTCCAGGGGAGGATTGGGTTGAGACATTTTAATCTCCCCACCCCAGCCGGAGTTGGGGCGGGGTGGAGAAGGGCCCACAACTCAAAGGGCTTGGGGGGGGGGGCGCAGATTTATAGGCCAGAGGAAATGGGAAGCCTGGACAGTGTCTCTACCCCCACCCCCACCCCCAACTATTTACAGGCAAATATACCTCCCTGTGGTTGCCGGTACAGGAGAATTTTACTCCTGAGCCGAACACAATTTAAGAGACATTTCTCTGGGAGCTGGAATGTGTATGCGCCACACAGGACCGCAGCCTTGCAGCACAGAAAATTACAATTATAAATCCTGCCTGTGGGCTATCTATACAATCCTTCTGTTGTGTACTCAAGACTTGGTATACATTTATATTCACCTCTCCATTCACGCACACTTTCTCAAGGAAGCAGGAGAGACTCCCCAGCGGGACAGACGGCTGTGCCCGCCGTGTATTTACATATTCCTCCGCGGAGACGGACTGACTGCGGTGGACCGAACCACAGACAGATTGGTAGAGATCTGGCTCCAGAAGCCAGGCAGCCTCTAGCCAGGCCCTGCCCGCCTGCTCTTTCTCCCAAACAAACGGATCAGAGGAATAAACGCTCATAAATACCTCTGGGCTTAGATAAGAGCAATGAGGCGCTATTTCCTTTCATGCCGGACTCCAGGCGCCTGAGCCCTGCCGTCGAGGCTCCATCTCGCGACAGGCAACCTGCAGAGGGGAGGGTAATTTGGGGGCTGCAACTCTTAGGATAAGGCGATTATTTTTGTGCTTATACCACAAGGGAAGGCCCCCTCCCGCATCACATGGTATATTACTTTACCCAGACCCCACAGGTAAGCCTCCACCTTCCAGTCCTTGGATGGGGGCATTGTGGCCAGGGAGGAGGCAGGCAGGACTGAGGCCCAGAGCCCAGCCTCAGTGGCAGAGAGGAGGGACATGCACCCAGGCACCCTCCTTCACTTGGTCTCCCTGCCCAAATGGCCCCTATTCCCTCCTAGGAGTGGGCCAACCACAGCTAGATTGGAGCATTTCTGCTTCTCCATTATTAGAGGGTTTGGGGTTCATTTTGAAATCCTCGTCAAAACCCCAAGAGCCAGATTGAGAAGTTGTGGAGGGCCATCCAGGGATGGCCACTTGGTCATGAAGGTGCAGCCTAGAAGTTGCCCTGAGTTCAGGGAGCCCTGGAGGCAGCTTTGCAGTCAACCAAGTCCCCACTCTTGGTCTCCACAACCTCAGCCCTCAACCACCTCCCTGGTGCCTTGTGCCATCTTTGGTGGGCAGAGTTGGCCCACAAAAAGGCAGCAGAGGGGCAGTCTAGCCCAGCAGTGGACTTTGGCCCACACCTTGCCTCCTTCCTGTCCCCAGGTCAGAAGCCTGTCACCCTTCACTGCCTGGTCTCTGCATGCATATTAGAATGCTGGAAATGCATCATGGCCCAGGCTCCCCCACCCCCACCCCCCCCGTCCTCAATGTCCATTTTCCTTGGGTGAGAAAGAGAGCCAGGGACACACATTGGCTCTCACATCCGAGCTCCTAGAGCAGCAAATCTGGCGATACAAACAAACCAGGTGATACCAACATAGGGCGTGGGAGGGAATTGCAGAGATGCTGAGAGGCGGACAGAAGGATTGTAAGTGTCTGGAGAGAGGATTTGGGCTGATAGTTGGTGGCTGCCTGCTGAGTCCCACAGGAGGAATTGAGCACTCCTCCCTGCTTATAAAACTAAACCAAAACCAAGTCTTAGGAAAGAACTAATTTTAAAAGGAACTTTTAGCTTCTAGAGAGACCTGGAAAAGAGGTGAGGGCCACTTTCCTCCTTGTGGTGTCTGATCGCCTCAAATATTGGAAGTGTTTGAAGACCTGGAATTGGAGGAGGAACAATTTCTTTCCTGTACCCAGACTTGCTGGGACATCCTTGATTCCTAAGACTCTGTAGCCCGGGACATTCCTATGTCGTTTGGGGTAGGGGGTGAGGGTAGAAGGCAGGATATAGATCAGATAAATCAAGCCACCTCACTCCTCCTCTCCATAGCCCCAAGTGGGGAGAATTCTAAGTCCCTTTCCCCAATACCCTTACCCCTGATGATAGCAGCTGCGTACTAGAACCAGGCAGGACCTCTTGGGCAGCGACAGACCCAGCCGAAGCCATCCAAAAGGCTCCTAGCCTAGCAGCAGACCCAGAGGGGGAAGCTTGGGCTCAGACCCTCCTCTCTTTTCCCAGTCTTCCGAGTCCTCCTGGCAGCGGGCTCTGGCCTGTCTCCCTCAAACCATAGGAGTTATGGAGAAGCAGGAATAATAATAAACCTGGGCTTGGAGGAGAGAGAGCAGATCTGATAAAGGGGAGGGGGGAAGAGTTTTCAAAGCCTGGAACGGAGGGTATTTCTTCCTCGTCTTCGCCTCTCTCTTTCCGAAAGCGATGCTAATTAGACAGCGAAGAACTCTTCTGCCTTCTTCCAACACCAAACCCTGGAAACAAACCTTCTTCTTTTTCTCGCTCTCAACGAGATTGGGGACATTTACCCAGTCCTCCATTGAGGGAACGGGCCCAAGCAACGCAGGGGTTAACTTTTCTGAAAACACAATGAACTTTTTCCTATCCTGCGTGTGTGTGGGGGGGGAGGGATATATTTATTTAATCACTGGGGGATGGGGTGGTCTCAATCCAAATGCTCCCTCCTCCCTCAAAGGCACGGGCGCCTGTTTCGCAGATTCTACGTAGGTGGAACAGAACGCGATGTGTTGTTAGGGGAGAGAGAGAGAAAGGAGAAGGAGAAGAAGGAGGGAAAAAAGGTTGATAGGTTTGTGCGCGGGTCCCTCGTGCGGGCTGCGCTCCTCCTGGGTGCTATTTGACAATTCCTGCCTCTGCCATTGGTCAGTGTTGGATCAGATGGTTGTATTTCCTTCTGGCCCTCACTGGCACCTCGCCATCCCCCCTCAGCTAAAACCCAATCTCGGATATACTACTAATAGGCGCGGCGCTCGGACTATAAAACACAACAAATCATAAACCCGGCGGAGCAGCAGCGGCCGCGCGCGCCTCCCCTCCCAATGAGTTCCTATTTCGTGAACTCCACCTTCCCCGTCACTCTGGCCAGCGGACAGGAGTCCTTCCTGGGCCAGCTACCGCTCTACTCGTCTGGCTATGCGGACCCGCTGAGGCACTACCCAGCGCCCTACGGGCCGGGACCGGGCCAGGACAAGGGCTTTGCCGCTTCCTCCTATTACCCGCCGGCCGCCGGCGGCTATGGCCGCGCGGCGCCCTGCGATTACGGGCCGACGCCGGCCTTCTACCGCGAGAAGGAGTCGGCCTGCGCGCTCTCCGGCGCCGACGAGCCGCCCGCGTTCCACCCAGAGCCGCGGAAGTCGGACTGCGCGCAGGACAAGAGCGTGTTCGGCGAGACAGAGGAGCAGAAGTGCTCCACTCCGGTCTACCCGTGGATGCAGCGGATGAATTCGTGCAATAGTGAGTGAGACCGGCCGCTGCCGCCCGGACCCCATGGGCCCCCATCTCCGGGACAGAACTAGCGGGGTCCCCCCCACTTCCCCACAGGGTACCGGTGGGCATCTCATTTAGGAGATAAGGAAACGTGGGCGCCTGCACCGGGTTTTGCGCTCTATCTTCTCGCCCTTCAGGAGTTATAAAGTTTGCGAAGTCGCAGCTGGACTCAGAGCCAGGAGGAGCAGTGGGCTCTCCCGGAGCGCCAGGCCAGAGCAGGGATGCCTAGTCAGGGAAGGGGACTGGGGCCACAGTCATTGGCTTTGCTTTCCTTTGCGCCCGCAGACTCTAGTCGGTTCCCCCACCCAAGGAAGGCTCCATTAGAAACGGAGTGCGTCATGGGGGGGGGGGGCGGCGTGACGCCGGCGAGGGAGTGGAGTCTGTCCCAGACTGTTTCCCAGGGGGGTGAGAAGCTGGGGAAAGATGAGGCACCAGGAAAGGGGGGTAGTCAGAGGAAGGAGGGAGAAGAGGAAGAACGAGAGAGGGCGGTGGGGGAGAGGGGAAAACAGGCGCCTGGCTTTCAGTTTGGATTATTTGTCGGCCTTAAGTCCCAAATTGATGTCCATTAGCGGGACACGAAAGTGAGGAGACGTTAATGCTGACTATGGATCGATCCACGTCATTATGGATTAAGGGCCGGAATCTATCACAGGGTGGGCGGGGGAGAGACGGATGGAAAGAGGGGAAAGGAAAGATGCGGCTAGGAAGAGACACACCTGGCCAGCACCTCCCTAGCCCCTCCCCCAGGCTCAGGTGGGAGTTCAAACTGCTCCTCCCCTCCTCCACCAAAAGTCTAGACAGAGAGGGCGTAGGCCTGGGACACCCCCAGGGAATCTGGAGGAGGCGCTGGAGGGTGGGGGAGGGGGCAGGGAACAGGAGAGTGGAGGGCATCCTGGGACAGGCTAGCGTCTATGTTTGAGGGTCAGTGGGGGAGGGGGCTCCGGCCCGGTGACCCCAAGCCTCAGCATCTCCTCTTTGCGTAACAGGTTCCTCCTTTGGGCCCAGCGGCCGACGAGGCCGCCAGACCTACACGCGGTACCAGACGCTGGAGCTGGAGAAGGAATTTCACTACAATCGCTACCTGACTCGGCGGCGGCGCATCGAGATCGCGCACGCCCTGTGCCTGACAGAGAGGCAGATCAAGATCTGGTTTCAGAATCGGCGCATGAAGTGGAAAAAGGAGAGCAAACTGCTCAGTGCGTCTCAGCTCAGTGCCGGGGAGGAGGAAGAAAAACCCGCCGAGTGAAGGCGCTGGAAAGGGAGGGGGGACGCGAAGGGAGAGGCGTGTAGGGAGCCCAGGGCGTCTGAGAGTCCCGAGGACGCTCTGCAGGTGGGGGAGCCCGGAGATCTGCTTCCCCCGCGCCGCGACCTGCGGGCCCAGCGCTCTCCTGGACGCCCCCGCCCGCAGAGCTTCCGCCCCAGCTCTCGGAGGCCGAGCTGCCCGAGCATCCCCTGCATCCTGCACCCCCCCCCTGCGGAGACCGCCTTGGCCGAATCTGGCACCCCCCCCCCCCGTGAGAACAGAGGACCTGACTCACTTGATGTCCTGGATGCAGAGCAAAATGCTCTTGTCCGTGTCGCGTCTCCTCATGTCGTCTATGTCCCCCGTGCACGGTTCAATGGTAGATTCGCTGTCCCCTCAGCGGGGCCTCGAAGACTCCCTGACTCCAGACCTGTCGTTTCTCTCACCCCCTCCCCAAAGCCACTGGAAAGAGCACATACTACCTAGAAGTAAGAAGAGGAGCCTCAGAAGAAAACAAAGTTCTATTTTATTAATTTTCTATGTGTTGTGTTTGTAGTCTTGTCTTAGCTCTGGACGTGAAATACTTCGGTAATAATATTAACATTATTAATAACGATAATAATAATAATAAAGACGTGAAAACTCGCCGCTCAGTCACCTCCGCTCCTCCCCTGCCACTTTTTTCTCCCTCCGCCGCCCCTCCCCCCAGCCACCCTATCTGCCCTGTGCCGGAAACTCCGTAGCAAAGGCGGGAGCCCTGGTCAGCCCCTAGGCCTCCCCAGCGGGCCCGCCGGACAAGACTCGGAAGTTACAGTTGAGATAAAGGCTGGAGCGGTCCCGCTCCGGCCCCAGCGCCGCGCCTCGCCGGTGCCGAGGCTCGGAACGGCCTCTCCCGGTGCAGACTTGGGGGACGACGGGGGCTATTTTCCTCGTATTCTCTAGCTTTTCCTTGTTTGCCCGCGGCACGAGGGACGCCACTGAGGCCCCCTAGCCCTGAGCTCCTGCAGAAACTGGGTCGGTGGGTCTCGGCGCCTCTGCACCGCTTTTCTATCCTCATTCACCCTCTCGGAGGCCCCTGGCCTTTGGCCCGCCCATATGGCCTGCCTCTGGCGGCCTTGGCCCTCGACTCCCGGCCTGGGGTTCTGCAGACTGAGTCTGGGCCACCAGGTATCCCCGGGCCCGCAGCTGAAGGCTCCAGGCGCCTTAAGTAGGAGCTCAGCGACAAGTAGGGAAATCCGAAGCCGCCAGCGGGCAAGGGAAGGAGGGCACGGTTTTCCCTTCTTCTTCCGAGACCTGAAGGCAGGAAGCCAGCTGATGGGGGCGTTGGTCTCATTCCCTCAACCCAAAAAGGCCCATTTTCTCCCTACTCCCACCCTCACCCAGGCAGCAAGCTGCAGATACTATTTTCTTTCTTCCTCCTCCCTCTCTCTCCCTTTTTTATTTTTAAAGAAAATAACCGCCCTAGCAGAAGGGGCCCAGCTGCGGCGGTCTCTGGTCGCCCAGCGCTCTCGGCAAGGCGCCGCTGGTGCTCGGAACCCTTCCCGGAAGGCGGTGGGCTGCCGGGCAAACTCTGAAACTGCCCAGTCGCGGAGCAGGGGCCTCGAGTGGGGCCTCCGACTGCAACAGCAGGCATCTGGCCAGGAGGTGAAGGGGTCCTGCCTTGACCCCAAACTCTCAGACACATGGTTTCACCTAAATCCCAGCCGCCGCCGCCGCCGTCGCCACCTCGGTCTTTCCGCCACTAGGCCGCTTAGCCCCCCGCCGAACTCGTTCTCCTAGGTCTCTGTCCTGTTCTGTCATTCCCAGGGCCTGGGCTAAGGACAGGGAGGTCAGGAAGAGGATTCCAAACTTCCGAAGGGCCCAGGGGAAGTGAAAGCTCCTTCGAAGAGTCCGGCCCAGCCCCACCGGCTCGGCCTGGGTGCTGGGGACGGCTACTGCAGCGCCTCCAGGAAGCGCACAGGGCCAAGCTCCCGGGGTCAACTCGTTGCAATAATTGTTTTTCACACACACACACCTTCCAGTCCTGTTACCCACCACCACCAGCTTCCAGACCCAACTAGGAGACTCTCAAAGCCCGAGTAAGGGAAAAGCAACTAGATCTTTGATCATCTCATCCAGAGTTTTTTTAAAAAATGGTGAGAACAGGAGGAAGGACACCAAACAGAAAGACTAACACCCACCCCCAAAAATTTGAGTAAAAGGCTCAACTGGGGCCCTTCTCTAAAATTCTCAACCCCGCGGGTGAACCTCGGCCCGGGGTTTCTTTCTCAAGGCGGTTGCAGGGAGCCAGGAGGGAGGCGGCGGTCGCCGCCATGGTGGTTTGCGGCCCGCGCTCCCGCCGATCGCCGGGAGGTGGCGCGCTCTGCTCAGAGGCCACTGCCAACCTTCTCTCGGTTTCTCCCCCTTCTCTTTTTCTGCCTCTCTCGGAGGCTCGCATTGAATCGGCCCTAACGATTCTCAGATCGTCATTATTTGTAACCATAGAGCATGAATTACCTCTTGAGGTCATCAGCGAGAATTTACGACTGGTCAACAAAAGCACGTGATTCCCTAACGCCCCCCCATCCCCCTTCCAGGCCCCCCCCCATATTTGGCCGCATACATAGCAAAACGAAGTACAGTGCATCGCTATAATTCATTAATACATCATAAATCGTGAAGCACAGGGTTATAACGACCACGATCCACAAATCAAGCCCTCCAAAATCACCCAAATGAGCTCGTACTTTGTAAACTCCTTCTCGGGGCGTTATCCAAATGGCCCGGACTATCAGTTGCTAAATTATGGCAGTGGCAGCTCTCTGAGCGGCTCTTACAGGGATCCCGCTGCCATGCACACCGGCTCTTACGGCTACAATTACAATGGGATGGACCTCAGCGTCAACCGCTCCTCGGCCTCCTCCAGCCACTTTGGGGCGGTGGGCGAGAGCTCGCGCGCCTTCCCAGCGCCCGCCCAGGAGCCCCGCTTCAGGCAAGCGGCGTCGAGCTGCTCCCTGTCCTCGCCCGAGTCCCTGCCCTGCTCCAACGGCGACAGCCACGGCGCCAAGCCCTCTGCTTCGTCCCCCTCCGACCAGGCGACCCCGGCCAGCTCCAGCGCCAATTTCACCGAAATAGACGAGGCCAGCGCGTCCTCGGAGCCTGAGGAAGCGGCGAGCCAGCTAAGCAGCCCGAGCTTAGCCCGGGCGCAGCCAGAGCCCATGGCCACCTCCACAGCCGCGCCCGAGGGGCAGACTCCGCAGATATTCCCTTGGATGAGGAAGCTTCACATCAGCCATGGTAATTCTCGCTCTCTCTTTTTTGTCTTCTCCGCTTTCTTTCCCTGCCTTTGGAAAGGGGGAGGTGAGGACAGCCTGGCTTTTCCTCAAACATAGATTTATTTTTTCCAGAGGGGAGAGGTCCCCATGTGGGACCTCACAGCTCCGAGGAGAGAGCCAGAGAAGGTCTTTAGCTGCGGGGATGGTGTATTTTTAATAATTTGTTCCCAGCTTCGGCTTGGGTTTTATTTACCCAGACGTACTAGCTTTAGGGTGAAAGATGGCATTTATATCATTTGGGGAAGGGTCCTTGCTTATCCCCGAAATTCTGAGACTGCCGCTGGCAACGGAGGGGTGAGCAGGCAAACGAGCGTTCCGGGGCAAAAGTGCAGCAGCTCTCCACTCTCCCGGGGCGAGCGGCCGCCTGAGCCCAGCGAAGGGTGAGGCACAGGGAGGGAGCAAGAGACAAAGCCGGGCGCCTCGGCTGCTGGCAGAAGTGGGGGCTGCAAGAGAAGGGGGTGCAGAAAGCGAGTCTGGGTGCCGACGTCTGGGCTGGGGAGGATTGGAGCTCCAGTGAGCTGGGTTCCGCGGACGCCTGGGTTCTGCTCCCCGCCCCCCTCCCACCCAGGGTCCCCTCCCTTAACCGGAATAACATTGCCTCGCGGCTCTACTCTGTCTGCTCCAGATATGACCGGGCCGGACGGGAAAAGGGCCCGGACTGCGTACACTCGCTACCAGACCCTGGAGCTGGAGAAGGAGTTCCACTTCAATCGCTACCTGACCCGGCGGCGGCGCATCGAGATCGCCCATGCGCTCTGCCTGTCCGAGCGCCAGATCAAGATTTGGTTCCAGAACCGGCGCATGAAGTGGAAGAAAGACAACAAACTGAAAAGTATGAGCCTAGCGACGGCCGGCAGCGCCTTCCAGCCCTGAGCCCGCCCTGAGGAGCCTGGGGCGGCCGAAGAGTCGCGCCGCCCTCAGCCCCGGCCCCTTCGAGCCTCCCTGCGCTGCCGCCGCCCGCTGGGGACGGGGTTCCCAAGAGCCTGCTGCCCTGGCCCTGTATTACGATTTTTCGTTTGGTCTTAGGTCTTCCTGTGTCTCCCTCTCTCCTGGACTGGTTAATCTTGTTATTATTGTTAATAATAATGGTAATAATTATTATTTTCCCTCCATGCTCCCTACACCTCCCCGCTCACCCCTAATGCGCCAGTGTTTCTGAATGTTCGTGTCTGTGGTTGCACTCCTTCCCCCAGGGGAAAAAAAAAAACAAACTCGCATGTTTAACGTGAACTTTCCCCTCCCGATCTGTGTTCTAACTTATTTATAAAGGAATGGTGGCTGTATTTTGAGTTTCAGCTGGAAACTTCTCAAAGGGGAAGCAGTTGAGGTGGGGTAGTGCCGCAATGCCGGGGCCCAGCAGAGCTGGCCTCGGGAGTAGATGGAGTCGATGATTGTGTGATGATTGTGTCTCTTTTCTCCTTCCTCTTCCTCCTCCCTCTCCACTCCCCAGGCCCAGGTCTCACAGTCGCTTGGTCCTGGAGTGGGAAGGGGTCAGGGAGGACCAAAGGGGTGATGTTGAGAAGAGGAGAGGGAGATAGTGAGATTTAAGTTCCTGCTGCCTGAGTAGGCCGCACCAGGCCTTGTCTGGGAATGAACGGAAACAAAAATAACCCTCAGTGTAAAATGTCTTGTATGTTTCTCTGCGTATCTATGGGTCTGGTTTAAAGGGCCCAAGGCTTGTAAATAGGGGGATAGTCTGGGTCAGACCCATCCCCTCCCCCCTACCCATTTCGCTTCCAAGACCATTTCTAGTGAGCGAGTGGATGCTGTGCTATGTGCGAAATCTGTCTTTGCCGGGCCTGTCTCAATGATTCGCTTTTGGTATTTGTTTGTAGCTTTCCTTGAAGTCAAATAAATGTTTCCCCCACTCCACTGCCCTTCCACTTGTCTTTTCTCTGGGGGCCTGCCTCTGCCATCACCAGGAGCACCCTAGGCCATTCTCCATAGATCTGGGGTATAGGGAAGGGAAGCACGGTGCTTACCAGCAGCCCCTCTCAGCCACCTAAGTCCCTGGCTTGGTCAGCGGTGCTTGGGCCAGGGGACAGGCTTCCAGATCTGGGAGACTGAGAGGCCCAGAAACCCCACCTGGGGCTGGTGCAGAGGAGAGGCTGCCTCTGGGCTCCATCTGGGCCTTCCACCAGCTGACCAGGAAAGCCTCTGGAAACCTCTTCAGGGGAAGTAATTTGGGCCTAAGTCCTGAGCAGGGGGGCTCCTGGCCTTTTGGGAGTGGTAGAGGCCTGCCCAGTCCCCCTGTTCCCTGCTCCCAATCCCAGTTCAGCTATGCCATCCACTAAGCAAAAAAATCTGCTCGATTTCAAAGGCTTTCTCTCACCCTCAGACTTTTCTACATTTCTCAAGGGCTCCTTCTCTCCAGGGGCCCAACTGACCTTCCCTCTTGATTAGGAGTTGGGGTCCCTCCTAGAAGACCCCTGGTCCCCTCTCCAGTTGGACTGGCCCAGGGTTAGGGCCCAGTCCTTCTCTGTCCGAGTCAGCCTCCACCCTGAGCACAAGAGTCAAATCTGGGCACTTACCTGGTGGTCAATCCCCTCCAGCTTGGCCCAACTTCTTACAGGACCTGGGGGGAGGGGGAGCTGGTCAGGAGGCCGTGGAGGGTCATGGAGGTTCCACTGGGCCCTCCTTCCCCCTCACCCCTTGACTTTGTCCCCCTTTGTCGATAGCAAACTATCCCAAAAGTCGCTGTGACATTTAGATGTCAAATGGATAGGGGTTTTATCTCGAAGTTAGATCGTAAAAATCACCGAGAAGTCAGACAGATACCCCTCACTGGCTCAAGAAAGTCACGTGAGGTCCATAAAGTTAGTTTTATGGTTTTGGGGAGTTGACACTGCGCGGTATATTTCACATTCTCCAGAATGTTAAGTGACACTTTAACTGCTAGCTGTGGTGGGGAAGGGGGTAGAGGTAGGTGAGCGCTCTCCCTGCCTAGAGCAGCCCGAGAGAGGCGAGGCAGCGGCGGCAGCCAGGCCCAGCTCTCCTGCAGTAAGTCGCTTCCAGCTTTCGCTTTCTCCCATTGCAGTTTTGGGGCCTGGGGCTGGGGGAAGGAAATCCTGCCTCTGGCAAGGCTGTGGGGTGATAGCAGATGTGGGGAGGGGGGAATTTCGCCTTTTTTTGTACTCATTTCTGACAAGCTGGGTGTTCGAAGGGGGGGGGGAATCAGTTGGATAACGCCCCAGTGATCAGTTGGGGGTATCTGGTTTTATTTGCAAGAATTTTTGACTCTGTGTGTGGAAAAGGGGGCTGCGTGAGAGCCACATTTCTTCAGTACCTTGGAAATTTAGGGTGGCAAGAAGGAGGGGTGTGTGCTGCTGAGAGCAGGGCCCCTTGTCGGGGGCCACTTCACTGCTGGCTATCTTCAGACAGACATCTCCCCACCCCCAGGAAAGAAACTTTATGATATTCATTTGTCAGGGGTGTGTGGGGCGCGCGCCGCTGGGCACTTCCATGTGGCTACATCTGAGCCGAGCAAAAGCACTGGGAAGGGAGATGCTGTGGGCTGCCTTGCACTGAAGGCACTTTCAGGCTTTCAGATGTTCACACTCCATTAAAGGGATCCCTTCCAGTTCTCTATGGCCTTATCAGGGTCACCCAGGATGGGGAGCGCAGCGCTCGTGCACCCAGCTTCAGCCTGTTGATCCCAAGCTGACCCTTCGGCTTGGCTCTAAATAGGGTCCTGAGGTCAGAGTAGGGGGACAGAGGGGGCAATCCCTGCCAATCTAAAACCTAATTTCTGGCTAGGAGTGGAGGGAAGGGGAGAGCTTCTTCCCTTGCCTAGAGGAGTTGGTATTTAAGTAGACCTCTGGTAACCTCTCCATACATAAAAATTGCTCAGTAACATAGATGCTGACTGTCAGGAGGAAAAAAGAGACACAGGAGCTGGAAGACAAAATTGGAAAGATGCTCCTTTTCCCTCTCCTCCTCTCTCCCCGTCAGAATCTCAAAGGCTCCTTTGTTTTGTGGCACCACCAACCAGAGGGACTTCAGAATTTGATTCCTAAGGAGCTTGTAATTTTCTAAGTAAAAATCACTCTTCTAAAAGCCAGAGGCCTCTTCTCCACCAAACTGTGGCCCCAATTTTAAGACCAGTGGAGTCAACCATCCATGTTGCTCTTGCTCTCGCCAGTGTGCCATTTTTTGATTCCGCTCGCCAGTTCCCATGGATAATACCTGGGATTGCACATGTGGTATCTTGAGGGGCATCTGACCTTTGGGATAAGGAGGAGGCCATAAGACTCCCTCCACTTCTCATTAAGGAACATCTGGACTCTATCCCTCTTTTCTCTCCCTCGCCTCTCTCTCCTCCAGCTGCTTTCTATTCCCTGCTCAAATCAATTTTACAGGAAACCTTTCACAGGCTCTGAGAGCCTAGTGACAGGGCAGAGAGCTTGGGGTCCTAGCTCTACTCTGAAGACACATCTCCTCCCTCATGAATTGTGGGGATCCATTGGGAGACTCCCATCAGTCCCAGTGGATCCCGACCACCATTTAAGATACTAATAAATCTTGGGGGCATAGCTTTCACAGGCATCCGCTCTGGATGAGGAAAAGGGGTGGAGTGAGGGGCAGACTGAGAGCCACACGGGCAGAACCCAACCTGTGCCCCAGGCCTCACTCTAATGCACCTCTCTCTCTCAGAGCCTTTCCAGGAGCCCAAAATCTCAGACCACCAGGCCTGTCCCTGAAGATTTTTTTTTCTTGCCCCCTGCCATGTCAGTTCTGCAAACTTCGATAAAGAGTGTGTGACCCGATGGCCCAGGGACATCTGCTGGGCATATCTGGACAGATTTCCCGGAATGTCCAAGAGAAGCCTTCGCGGGGGTGCCCACTTCCGCCAGGGAGGCACCAGAGAGGCCAAACAAACCCTTGGATGATCTCCTCTGCTTCAAGCAGATCCCAGGGAAGACGCCCGAGCTGGGCTTTCTTCTTCCGTTCTCTCGGGGCAGTGATCCCCTCTGAATCCCAACAAGGAAGCATTGAGGGAGAGGATAAGCAGTGTGAAGAAGTCTCTGGTGCAACTGAATTCTCTCCTGCACCCAGATCTGAGCCCTTTCGTCCTGCCGTCTCCAAGGCTTTCTCCAGGAAAGCCGCTCTACCCTCTAGAGGCCTCTTCTCCCAACATCACAGGTTCTGCTCCTCCCTCCTCTTAAGCCTGTACCCTCTGGCAAAATTCTTATGCTGATCCTGGATGTACCCTCAACCTGGGGCAGGGCCGAGGAGGTGGGAGAGGGAGATTTAGGCTGCAGTTTCCCATTTCTCTCTAAGGCCAGCCTGACCATCACTCCGTGGACAATTTGATTTTGATTTTTGTGGTTTTGTTTTATTTGGTTATGTTTTGTTTCTCCACGGCAGCGGGGTAGGAGGAAGTATAAAGAAGTGTAAACAGGAAAGCCAGCCGGGCCTGGAGTTCCGAGTGCCCATATTTCATCAGCTTCCTCTCCATAACTGCTGCGGGGACACTTAACCCTTCCCTAGCTGCAAGAACCTATTCACCAGGGGCTAGTGGAGCAGGAGAGGGGGGATCCAAGAGAAAGTGTCTCTCCCCGCATGGTTTCTTTATCTCGGGGGTCTGAATGCTGGGGAGGCAGCCAGGGCTTCAGAGCAAGAGAGATTCAGCCCAATCCCCCAAACTCAGTCCCTTCTGAGGCAGAGAAGGTGAGGCTCCCACCTGCATTGGGTCCCCAGCTTGGAGGTCAACTGGGCCAATCTAGGAGAACAGGGTCACAAGAACTCCCTCCCCTCTTTTTGGGAAGGATCGCCTAATCACCCCTCCGGACTTTTGGAGTGTCTCAGAGTAATCAGATTTGGAGGCTGGGATCTGCCTACAGTGGGAATTATCGATTGCTGCAGTGCTGTTACACATCCATATTAATTAACCCAGACACCCGCCTGGAAACTGAGCTGTTTGGGAAGGGGGGAGGGGAGAAATGAGGACCCCTTAAGGGGACTGGACATTTCTCCCTAAGGGCCCCTGGGGCCGATTGGAGAGTTGCCCCCCACAAGAAACCTGTGACCTTCCCCAAGCTCCAAACGAAGTCCCTCTACTTCTCAGCAGGGTAAGTGTGACTTACTCTGGACTTCACACACAAGTCTCAGGGTGGAATTAAACACCCACCTACCTAGTCCCTGTAGGCCCCTGGCGACTCCAGCCTGTAAGAGTTCGGTTCCCCCAGCCCTCTGAAGATCTGTCTCTGGTGGGTGTTCCCAGAAGACTTTTCTAGAGGGGTTAACCTCCCTAGCCACTTTCCTTTCAACTTCCCAAAGGTAGAAGCTCTTGATAGTTCTCGGGTTTGTTTTATTTTAGTGTTCCGTTTGTTGGTGGTGATAGTGATGGTATTATCGCCTTCCCTTTCCTCCTACCCCTCCCTCCTAAAAGTGATTAAAATCTGTTAAAGGATTTAATTAAGAGAGTTAAATGAAAAGGAAGGAGGCGCAAATGAGTTGGGGGAAAAAACCCACACCAAAGCTATTCTCAACGATTAAATCGCCATTTTAACAATATAATGGAGTTTGCATCCTGAAAGGGGAAATCAACGCTCATATCTCATCAATAATTCATAGAGTCCGGGATCACGCAGAGGTCAGCAGACGGGGCCGGAGCGATGGCCTACGTGGGGCTCAGAGCCGCTGCCGCATACATTACGCGCCATTGGCGCTGGCCGCAGCGCCGCCGCTGCAAGCCGGGGGAGGGGGCGTGAAGAGAGGTTTACGTGGATTTTTCGTTTTTTCTTTTGCCAAATTCACGGAGACCCAGATTGCGGGCTTCAACAGAAGTGGGGGATTTGGGAACTGGAGTGGACTGGACTTCGGGCAATTCGGACCTGGTGGACCCCGAATATCACCTCCTTCCCAAGTTTTAATCTTTCTTTTCCTCCTTGCACCTTCTCTGTATGGGTTAGGCATCTTCTGTAGTGTCT